TTGTCGGAAACTTTGGTTTTCATTGTGATATTTAAGGGGTGTAGCCATAGATATGTATATATATCTATGGGTCTAGCGGCATGAATTACTCACTCACACTTGTGGCGTCCTCTCGTGCCGCATCATCCTCGCTCCCCTGCCCGCCTTCTTCTCGCGCTGTCTTCATAGCATTCAGTCAATCATTTGGACCGGTAATCTCAAATGCTCGGATCCAATCCGGTATTGTTAAAACGGTTTCCCCCAAAATACCTGTCTGCACTCTCAACGTGAACGCGAACAGCAGAATGAAGGCAAAGACACGAGGCGCTTTGTTTCCACCTAACAGTGTAACAGTGTAACAGTATCCAGGCAGGTGTGCAGACAGTGAGCCTTGTGTTCACTTATCCTATAGATGCATTCAGACTCTTTATACCACAGAGACAACTGAAACTTTAAAAAAAAAAAACTGCAATTTGGTTCTAGTTTATTTACAGATTCATAAATGTTAGTGTGTGCTGTCTTTACATTTTACAAGGCTCCAGCCTCAGGTAAAGCAATATAATTATATAGACATTTAGTTAAAAAGCAGAACACAAGTCTTTGTCATAAAAGACACCCATTTAGGTGAGCTGACGGATGGAAGAAACCCAATGGGAAGCAGCTTTTTGACCATATCAGTAAAATGACATGACTATAAAATAACTAACACTTTCCACACTAGCACACTGACTTAAGGCTCAATAATGAGCCTTTATACTGAGGCACATATGTCATTTGTACACACATACTTATATGTATATAAATATACACATTAGTGTGTATGCATTAGAGTATGACATAACAGATGTGTAGTCCAGTAATATTTCATTATTTATGGATCTCATCAGCGCAATGTAAACACTAAATGTGTCTGAAGTGTCTCTTTTTGTCATTTCCTGAAGAGGGCACTGCGTGCAAACGAGTACAACAGGTGAGATGGCTTCTTCTTTGGCTCTGCTAAAGAGAAGACCTGCTGCTGGGGGATGCTGGTTGGCACTGTCACATGCCGCTGATGGAGAGGATGTAGCGGCTGATGGTGAGGAGGCACAGGATGATCAGAATAATTCATTTCTAGAGGTGCACAGACATAAAATGAGAGTATGAGTTCATCATGGTATTAAAATGAAATCTTAGCCAACAGTTTTTGGAAATCATTTAATTTCCCATGTATACATATTGCCTAGATAGAAAATAGCTGCCTGGGGCCATGGACAAGATTGTCACTGAATGAACGAAAACTAAAAGAAAATAAATATTTGTGACAACCAACTGAAATTAAAAAAAAAAAAAATGTCCACAAATTTAGTTTTTGATATACGGTACATTATAAAACCTAAAACCTTTATGACCTGCCTGTATTAAAGATGAAAATGCCTTTAGAAATCAATTATACTTAATGCTTTACGCTTTCTAATCTTAATTTAACATCAATAATTAACATTAAACATTTTTTAATTATACCAGTTAGCTCATTATCTTTGGAAACCCTAAATATTTAAACTAAAATAAAATACAAAGAAAACTAAACAACTAAAACGAAAAACTAACAATAACTAAACTAAATTGAGAAGACAAATTAAAATTAAAATACAAAAAAAAATAAAAAATAATACCAAAGAGACTTTGACCCGGTGTCGTTATTGTTAACAAAAAAAAATGTAATTAAAACGTAATGAAAAACAGTCCAAAACCAAAATAAAAATGTCCAAACATGAATTTGTAGTTTTGGAAATATGGTTTATCTCACCTGTATTAAACATGAAAATGTCTATAGATAAATATTTTTAAATAAATCTTTTAAATCTAAAATAAAAACTAAATAAATTGGAACTAGAAAATAAACTAAAACTACAACGACAGAATAAAAACTAAACTAAATTGGAAAAGACACTTTAGAACTGAAATGAAAAATAAACATGAAAAAAATAGAAATATATAATAGAACTATCATAACCCTGCTTTGACCTCAGTTCCAATAATGGCACAAGACAACAAAGATACATACTTTTAATTTTTCCTTGTTTAGATTTCCTGGCGTTGTGAACTGCTTGCTTCCTCTGGGCCTCAGTAATCTCTATCCCTGAAAAGCAACGAAAATAATGAACGTCATTCTTTGAATTCATGGCATTACCATTTCATACCAAAATGGAACACATATTCCTTCAACTGTGAGACTCACCCATCTCTTGGTCTTCCTGTACCCGTCTGCGCTCTCGAGCAAATGCTTGCAGCCATCGCTGCTTGTCCTGGCACTTTTTGCAGCACAACACACACAGAACATTCAGGTTCTCTGCATGCCGTAGGAGAAATGCGTTCTTCAGGAGGCCCAGCTCAGCGTGCCGTCCATCAGGCAGGTCGATCAGCTCGAGTAGGTCAGCGTCCATACAGCCACGGTAGTGTAGCAGGTCTCTCCGCAGGACGTCTTTCTTACAGAACACCAGCTGGTGGTCAAACAGGAAGTAGCTGCGTTGCTGCATCTTACCGGGCCGCACTAGCCGCGTTAACTCGCCGGAGTGGATGAGCTCAGAGCTTCGTGTTAACACATCATCACCCTATAGGAAATATTTTTCCATTTTTAAATCTTCAAACAAGCTTTGAAATCTGAAATTATTGTTCTGTAGTACACAAAGCCTCATCAAGCCCTGTGAATGACTCGGCACATTAACAAATAAGCAGATATTAAACCGATCAACATG